GTGCAAAAAGAATGACTGCATGTTGCTGCTGTGGCAAACTACTTCCACAGACACACAGCCTTTTAACTGCATGAAACACAAACATTTGAAGGCGTGGAGCATGCACAGGTGTAGTTTAATCAAAAGCTGTAACAGGGAAAATCTGGAGGAATTCCTTTCTCCCCCTGCTTCCTCAGCCATCTACTCACTTGAAAGTGACTACAGGCTTGCAGCAGAGAGGTGTTTTCATTGGGAAAGGTCCCAGCAGAATGAGGGTGGGCCCTTACCCTTTGAATAAATGCCAAATCCAGCAGTCTAGTAAGGGGGAAATGCTAAAAATACGTCCTGCTAAAGGTCTGAAACAACAGAAACTGGAGCAGACATCGTGAAGGTGGAATTGACCGGATTCAGGAGGGAAGGTCTTTGTAACCAAGATTTCTCTCCAATCCCTTTCTCATCTGAAAGCTCTTCTTTTCTATGAAAGTCAAAACTATTTTGCAGGGGTCTGTTTCATTTGCATTCAGCAACATTTTCGCAGTAGAAACTGCAATGCAGAGACTGCTAGAGCTCAGAGGGGAGTCCATGTGGCACCTGCTCCCTCTGCAAGCCGCCTGCCATTGGAGCTTGCCCCAAAGTAGCCCTCAGCAATCTCTGCTATGTGCCTCTTTCTAGGGAATGGTGAAAAGAAAATATGAATGGCTAAGGAAGGAGCATGTGGGGAGCCTTGGAAGGAAAAGGCTAACCACATACTCAAAATGTGGTAAATTGCAATAATTAACAGCAAAATGATTTGTAATTTAATGTTCTACTCTGATTCTAGACAGTATTACAGCACAGGAAATCTTCTGGACCAACAATTGACCTGTTTCTGGTGCAGTCATTATTTCAGCCTTGAACAGTTTATTTAGACTGCATGGCCTTCCTGTTTCTTGCCTGGTCAATTGATTTTGCAAGTACAAGGAACCAGTTCACAATTTGTCCTGTGAAGGTTGTGTTTGCTATCAAAAATGCGTTTCTTTTCCTAACACTGTCACCTGCAGAAAAGGAATCATTCCATAGTTATTCAGTAGGGAGCAGCACAAAGCAGATGTGCACCCACATAATTATAGGTATGGACATGCATGTATTTATAGGAGTGCGCAAATACCTAGGACACGATCTCATAAAAACCATATTTCTTGGTTGTTTGCTCTCAGCACTTCAGGCAAAGGTCATTCTGACTGACAGTACATACTGGAGTATGTGCCAAAAACAGAAAAGGGAAGTCATTTTCATACATAATCTGTAAGTAAAGTTTAAGGATGGCATGTAAGTCCTATATCCTTATAATCAGAGTCCAGGGACATAATGCTCACCCTTTGCTCATGTTGAAGGAAAAATCAGTTCTTATGTCTTGCTCCCTGTCACTGGAGACTAGTATGATACAGGTAATGCATGCACATGGATTGTCCCACCTTGTTGCATGAACGAAGCAATGTATATATGGAGATGGTTTAAGTGAGTGAAACAGGCACCTTACCCAAACATGGAAGAAGAAAGGTTAGAACAAGAGGGAGCTCCACAACGCTGCCACTTTTTTTGCCAACTTAATTGCTGTGCCTTGCACTGTGGTCCAGTGAGATCTGAGCAAACTGGCCAGTGTCTATTTGCAGTTCCCACTCTATGATTTAGAAGAACTTATTTGGCATGCTGAGCCTCAGGCTTGACCTCTTCTGGTTGATCCTAAATAGCTGTTGTTACCAACAGCCACATCACTTCTCTTACCTCAGCTTGCATTTTTTTAGTTTCAGATAGTTCCCTGTCATCTTCATCTCATAGATCATTGCCTTGCTTCAGCAAAGCACTTAGGAAATATTTTCCATGTAGGTCTGTTTGCATTAGACAAAGGTTATATCTCTAAATTCGACTGTTAGTTTGATTTGGCAGTTGCCTTTGCTTTACAGTCCCTTCAGTAACTTCTATACTAAATAAGCCATAGTCTATGCTAGGCTAGCACTGAAGACAGCCAGTTCTGGAACTGCTATAGGGAGCACTGATATGCACAATGAATGCACATAAAACAGGAGGCAAATGATCTTCTCAGGTTAAAATTAAAGTGCTTTTAAAGATGTGAAATATGAAGCTATTACATAGGCTTTCAAACTCTATTCCTTTGTGAAAGGCTAAACTCACAGTATAGCAAAGTCAGTTATTTTGGCAGCATTTCACTTTCTACATTTCTGCCAATAGCTGAATTTAATTACTGTTGCATTTATGGAAATACTTACCTAACTGGAGGAGCGACATATGAATTTTATCCATTTCATATAAAATGAAGCAAACGTGGGGACGTTGGTCTACAGAGAGGATGCAGAGAAGTTTTAAACATAGAGATTTGCACAATTGCCTCTAGGTTTCATTTCTTTCACTCTCTGCTTCCAATGAATTTTAGCGTGCCTGAAAAATGTAAGATTGTAGCTGAGGAACATAAGCTGCTCCGTCTATCTAACAGTGAAGTCAGTGGTCCCTCCCATGCTGTAAGAGGTGAAGTCACTCTGGGAGAAAAAAAGCTTTCAAAAACAGCAGGAGTGAACTGCATCCACACTCCCACAGTGTCTCTGACAGCAGTTTTGTGCAAGGAGCACTAAGAGGAGCTATCTCGCTCATTCATCTTTAATCCAAGCACCAACTGATCAACTCATTTCCCCTCCTTTCAGACCATGGAATGCCTTGTGCAGAGCTTCACAGCCACACTCCTACCACCTAACAGAGAAGCTCCTCGCAACTTCTTTCTGTTAAGGTCGTATTTTTGTAGACTCCTTTTTGTCCTCTGCTGCTCTGGCATAGCTCCACAGTATGAGAATATGCCCCAGTGCTACCATATTTTGTGGGGATAGCAGTCCTTGCTATTTTATATATAGTGAATTGTATTTATTTATGGAAAATCCATGCACAATAAAACGTATTGCAGTACAGAACACCCTGGTTTGAGATCTACGGGAAAATTTACATAGAGGATATATCCATGTCCTGTAAAAGTATCTAATTGCATAATGCTTACAGGCCTCCTCATATCTGTGTTCACAGCCTGTCCTATAGCTGAGTTTCTGCCTTTTTATTAGTCTTCAGTTTTCTCCTGTGCTTGACACATACAGTGACATAGCAGTTACTTCCAGGGAAGGGAAAAAGGTAAATAGAAGTAGTTTCATTCAATTTTATTTTATTTGCAGTGTTAGTACTCTAAAGAATAGCTATAATGAAGAAAATCCTCATGAAAACTGTATTTCTCTGTAGACTTAGGGTAGGACAGATCATACTTCTTTGTCAATCCTAATTTCATTGAAAATAAGTGAGACTGAAAACACATTTAAAGATGTGATTTTCACTGGTGGCTTGAGTTATATTTATCACAGATCAATTATACCAGGTAGCAAGTCAATAGAAACAGTGAAGTGCTAATGTCTTAACCTAGATTTTAGATGGACTTAAATTAGCCCACTAAACTGTGACTGCAATTCATACTAGAGTTGAGTCTCCTTGAAGCAGTAAAAATATTGGCTTTGGTGTAATGTTACCATCACTTCTTTCTGTGAGAACTTACTTAATGTGACTGAAGTAGCAGGAGAAAATCACTGAGCGCTAGTATCAGCAGATGTGGGAGTGCTTTACAGCAGCAAAAGCTTAACAGAAGACAGGTTTTTCGTACCTTTAGGAAAAAGTAGTGGCTGGAAATCTGCTGTATATTTGGGAGCCATTACATGCACAAAAAGATGTAGAGGTATCAGAGAAAAGAAAATGTTAATCATTCTTGTAGTGAGGTGGAATAGCAAAATGAACAGGATCGGACTGTAAGGCTGCAGGTAGCTGTATATATAAAAATACATATTTTCAAACTGGCAGAATTTTAATGTTTGAAGCTTTTCCTGTCATTAAAAATAATAATGCGACTTCTCAGATGATTACTGTCACCTTAAACACATTCTACTGTTAGCTATCATTAGCATTTACTTTACCATTTTCTCTCTAAGGTTCATTAACCAAATATCAACTGCTTTTATTTATCAGTAAGTAGCATAATAGCAGTCTTATTGTAACTAAGGATGCAGAGGACAATGTTTTGGGCACACAAAAAAGCACCATAATTCCAATCCCATAGCACTTTACGCAATATTGAGAAGATGAACATCAGAGTGATCTTGCTAGTTAACATTTTAAATTATCTTGGTACATGAAAATTTATTTGTTAATAAGTTTAAGTTGAAAGTTATTAGTCTTATAACTATCAGATCAATTAAGTTCAACATTCTACTTTTTTTGATAAAGATATTTCCCAGCAATAGCTACGGCTCCCTCTTTTATAAACAAATGGGATGCAAAACCATAACAGAAGCATCCTCTGTCTTGCAGTAATGACCACTGAAGGGATTGATAGCAAGTACCATGTGATGGGTCACATTTATTGTTAGGGTAGGTTAAGCATGGTTGTGAAGCTGTCAGAGCTCATTTCGTATGTGTGCTAAGCGTGAATCAATCCCATGAAACAATGGGATTCATGAAAAATACTTTCTAAAAGCTACAAATGTGCTTCCCTTTAGTGGACAAGCATCTAAGATCCTTGCTCTCAAAAGGTACCTTTTCATATGCTAAATTCATGTGTACATATTTTACTTTGAAAAAACTCAAGATGTATGAGTTGAATACTGTCATGTTTTATGGGGGCTCCATCTTGGGCTGAAGAAAGTACTGAAAAAAATAATTATATAGTCCAGATATCAATTTTTGAGTAAATGGTGTATTTATGGATCTGACATTCTTTTCCGCTGGCTTTCAAATGTTCCATTAAACCCCATTGCTTACCCTTGCTTGCTAACTTGTCTTCTCACCATTTTCTGTCCTGTTAAGAAGGTACAAGCTGAGAAGACCTTTCTTCAACAGAGCACCTTCAGCATCAAAAACCTGGAGTGCAATCCCTTCGCCTTTGTGCAAGTGTAAAGAAGGAGGCTTGAATGACATGACACATCAGCTTTCTCTGGGGACTTCACTAAAAACAATGCTCAAAATGTATTTGCAACATTGTTTTACAAGAGAGAAAGGGAGGGAGAGAAAGAGTGTGAGTTTTGGGTGGAAGGGACTGAGGCAGCTTATGGACTGGCTTCAGGCTGGTAGTACAGAAGCATAACCAAAAACAGAAGTCTCAGGATCTGGGGAAACAAAAACGTTCAAAAGCAAAGAAGCTGCTTACCAAACACCCTGAGAGCAGAGAAGGCCTTACATGTATTACCAAGGTGTGTTTTATCATATATCTCTTGGCAACATTGTAATTCATAGTGTGAGTGTAGGAAAGGTATCTCACCCCTGAGTTTTGTTTTCTCAGGAATCACAGAGGATTCTACTGATACCACAGTTATTACCATTCTGGTTCCCAAAATAACTGATGAATCATTTACTGAAGTGTTAAAGCCCCCTTGATGTAAAGAGAGCTACTGATTTTGTCATCAACTTGACTGAAATTTCCTTATGCAGAAGAGATGCAATGCCCCTTCAACAAGACGGAATCAGGTTGCCACCAGTCTCACTGCTCAAGGTAGCAAAGCCTGCTGAAGGCCTACACAGGGAAAGAAAAAGCCTGCCTTTCACAAGAGGTTTACAAAACAAAAACAAACCAACAAACCACACTTGTATTTCACAACAGCATTTAATGAAGGCTACCAAGCTGCCTGGTGCCATCTGGACCCATGAAGCAACTCCACAGATAAATAGTATTGCAGGAAAGGGCGTCATCTCACCTGACAGCAGGATACCATTATTCAATTACCTTTTATTCACAGAAAAATAAATAAATAAAAAAAAAAGTGGTAGTATAGACAAGTTCCCTTCCTCTTGATTTTTAAAATTTAAACTGATGAATGATAAACTTTGTGTCAATACTGGTGTGTAAATGTCAGGTATTTTTTTATTCTTAGAAACAATGACCATTAATGGGGCATGAGAGAACAAGAATAAACCTAAATACTATTAATACTGAGAAAGCTGCAGAATAAAACTTAAAGCTTTGCAAAGTGTTCACAGAATTCAGTTACACAGCTACTGTCGATGTCCTGAAGGAATTACAGTTAGTCTTGCCCAAAATGTGAATGTTCCTAAAAAATCTCATGTCAATCAGGTGGGATGGAGGGAATTCAAGATATCCTTGATATTTCTTTCTCTTTAGGGTTTCTTCCAGTGTTTTTACTCTTCCAAAATTTAAAAGAGGATGACAGCTTTATTGTGATTCCTTAGAACCGAAAGCATTGTTATGTATCCATCTATGACGTAAGGTGTAGAGAGGAGTTAATATCTCCTATTAGGCCAGGTGGCAGAACTCAAAAATCAAGGGATCTTCTGCAGTCTTAATCCCCTTTCAGACCTGCAATAGACCAGGAAATGCCAGGATAAATACAGGCTGAGAAATATAAATCACCAGTTAGACAATTGAAGGAAAGCATAGCTGCTACCTATGGCGAAAGAGGGATGTTAGCAGGGGGAGAACTAACACAGTCTTCTACCTGTATGGAGTAGTGGGAGAGGAAAAGAACATATAAATAATTGTTGTTCAACGAGGAGTTAAATACATGTGAAAGATAGGAAAAAATGATAATGTGCTACAAAGTCAGTATCTCTACCAATTCCTTGAACACGACAGACAGCAGCTTAATGTATTGTAGTTCCAAAGCTTGTCTTTCAAGGAGATTTTTGTAAACCTCCCCATCAGCCCCTCTCAATGATCAGAACTGATAGGCAAAAGGTAAAGCACCTATTTTTTGAAAAACATTCTCCCACTGGCTGCTGGATGTTCTTTTCCATGGTTTTCTGTGAGTTTCTGAGTGAGTTCATGCTCTTTGGTGTACAGCAATTGCTTGGTGTCCAGGACAATGTTCTGTAAGGATATTTAGGGCACTAGACAAAGTACATAAACCTCAGGAAATGCATGTGTTTCAGCTGTAGGCTTGCCATCAAAGACATTTAATGTGTGCCATATTTCCATTTGTTACTGGCACAGAGCCACAAATCTCCTCTCCTTTGCAGCACTCAGGTATGGTAAATGCACAGCCATGTTTCCACCACTCTTTACTGCAGTCTGACAAAGGAAGGAAGCCAATACGCACAGCGGGATGCTAATAATCAAATCAAAACTCCCAGATGTCTGTCAGCAAAATCCAACAATGTCCATACTTCTTTTTAAGGAGGATTAATGAGGCAGTTTTGCCAGCCAGCAGCAGAAAGCTCCCAGACATGTGCCAAACCTAATGTCTTTAAAATGTGCTCCACTAGGTCATCAGACCCATCTGTCCATGGGGATGAGAGAAGGTGTGATCTACACGGATCTATAGCCTAAGTCTAAATGTCTTGAATCACATTTGAAGTACTACAGAAGAAAGATCACTTCTATCATGATGGCTGTGTAGGTGCCTTCAGGCAATAGTCCCTAAACAATATTCCTTTCTTCATACTTCTGATGATTTAGAAACCTAGTCTTGCGTCTGTAGCTTTTTCTTATTTAGGCCAATATTAAAAATCAGCTGGGGTTTAGAAATATATTAGTAGTTACATTTACTCAGCAAAATTAATCAGTGTTCTAAAAAGGCAAAAACAAGCTAGAACCACCTGAGCTAACCTGGCAACTGGTTGATGTATCTTTCTTTCTTCTGTCTCTACAACTTTTGCTTAAGGAGCTCTCTTGTCTAGATTCCTTCCCTGATGTTCTGGGATGAACACTGTAAGATTTTTTTTAGCTTTTTTTGTTGCTGTTGTTTCGTCAGCTGTCCCATTCACTTTACAGTCTTGCACCATGTAGACAACTTCAAAACCACTGTAGATACAGTCCTGTCATAGTTCATACTTTGATTCAGAGGGATAATGTACTGATAGCATGCTGCAGTGCAATGTCAAAATACCACCCCCGGATAACTGACAGATCTCTTTTCCTTATCAGACAAGGATGCCTATTTCAGATACAAATTCCTTTGCTGCTAACATTTAACTTTGGAGAAATTAACTCAACCCAAATCAGCAAACCAGCAAATGTGCTGAATATATATAGGAAAATACAGGACAGGGAGGGATCAACAGGTTCAACAAGCACAGTTGCCAAAACATAAATTGCAGTGTAATAGATGTCTATTCCAGGAACATCTGCAGAACACCCACTCCACATGACCCTGATAAGGAAAGCATGTCCCATTGAATTTTCAGGGGATTTTGGCTGCAATATCTCTGCTGAAAACAGCTTTCAGTATGACAAAAGCAATATTGCTGACAAATATGTATGTTATAGTCTTAAAAATAAATAAATTTATTACTCAGATTTTTTCATTCTCCTTATTCACCTTGTGAGTCTTTCAAACAGCAGTTCTATCTGCACTGTAATTCCCTTATACCAACTATGATACTGAAAGAAGATTCCATAGTATTTTGAGACTTCTTTATTGCAACGTTGCTGGATCCATCCTCAGCAGTTTCTTCTACGTTACACAGTTTCACAGAAGCTGCAGGTCTCCATAAGTCTCACTGTAATAACAGGTTGCAGGTAATTGTTGGTTTCTTGGAATGCATTTGCCTCTACTTCAAGCCATAATTAAAGGAATCATATAACTTTGGAACAGTCTTTGGAAATCTGAAAATAGGATTTTGATTTACAAATGTTAGGGTGGAATAGGAAATGAGTGAGCCAAAATCAGCATGCTACCATGCTCATTTGCAATACTCTGAACAAGGCATGCCCTTTGTTTTGACCACCAAGACTTATCCAAGACATCTTGTGTATATGTTGCGTAGTGTGAACAACAGCAGGTCATCCCCAAAAAGAGCAGAGTACATTTATTATCAAGACAGGAAGATATTGCTTGAAACTAAACAAAAGGCTACCTTCAAAGAGAGAACATTGCCATGGAGGAAACAAATTATTAGAGACAAGGCTTCTTCTCACACCTGCTTATCAGAGTTGCTCACAGACTAGGTGCTAAAGCCCACATTTGAAACCAGGCTCTGTGGTTTTGGGTGGTTTGTTTTAAACAAGCGGGCACCTTCAGGGTTGTGATAAGGTTATGTGAAACGATAAGGTTTCTGTTTCTATGCCTCCTTTATATTAAGTGGCTGATTTTGGGACAGAAGAGTCTCAAACTTTGTTAACAGACCCAGATTATGTTTTGTCAGGTGTACTTATTTGTATCTCCCTGCTCCTGTAGCTTTGCCAGCAATGCTTATTCCAGGATATAGGTCTGGTATGATCAGTAAGGTCAGTCTCAGCAAATACTCTTCATCAGAGAGTGCATTGCCTACACTAATTACACTGAAATAAGTTTGTGTCCCACTAGCCACTCAGTTACCAACATGATCACAGAAATGCACTCCACAGTTTTCTTTAACAGATAAAAGAATGATCTTTATTCTCTTTCTCTAAAGTTCCTAAGATACGCACTGTGAATATTTCCCCTTAATAAGTGCTGGCTTATATTCAATTAAGAGAAAATGCTGGCAACAATCACTTTTACAGTATGGTCTCTACAGATCTGGGAAGCTTCAGTATGAGATTACGTGTCATGACAAGGTAGGCCCAGAAAGACGAACAGTACAAATAGCCTGGATTGTATCCATTTGGACATTTTGGGGGGTTGTTTTTTTTCTTGGGGGGGGGGGGTAGGTGTTAAGTTTTAGTGTCAACATGAAATTTTTTCTGAATTCTCAGGAAAAAGCCAAACAAACATATCCTTCTTAATGAAGAATAAAACAAAGTACTTAACTAGATTCTCTCTTTCATCTTTCACTTCTTTCTCACTGGTTACTCCCCCGTTTCTTCTTTCCTGCTACTCTTTCATTTATACAGTTGGAGAACATTTTACCATTTTTTTAGGGCCTTAAAAAATCATTTTCTAGCTCATTTTCTCTTTCCCCTCCTACTCCACTGCTCTCAGGTCTTTGAGGTCATCTTTGAGGTTCAAATTAGAAGCTCTGTGACATCATAATTTCTGCAGATCTCTCCCTTGCAGTTTTAAACAAAGCTCTCTAACTTAAAGATTCTTTAGAAATCTCTCAGGGAATATTTTTTTTCCAGTATATGGAGCCCAACTATTCATTTTTGTCCATTCCACTTCCCTTCACCTTCTTCACATGACAAATGTTGATTTTGCATGACTTCTCTATAATTAATGTCATTTTAACTATCCACACAGTGCCTTACCAGTACCTAAGAGATACTTCCTCTTGTGCATCAAGCATCTTATTGCATACTGTAAATAATCTCTCCCAACGTCTTTCTGTAAAAACATTTTTGCTGATATTTTTAGGGGGTCATTTGTAATAGAAATATGCACAGAACAAGAACAATTTCTATCACTTTGTCTCAACACCTTGATTTTCTTTCCCCCTTTTTTCCTTATTTTCTGTACCCTGTGACAGGAGGGAAGACTAACAGCTGACCGCCAGCTGGTTCCCCATTCTGCCGTTTCTTTATGAAAAGGGGTGATTTAGCAGAGAAAACCAAGAATTTGGAGTGCTGAATTCCAACACCCAAGTCTTTCTTTTGGCCCTGATTAAGAATTTGGTTCTGTGTATCCCACATCACAGCTAAATGTCCAACTCCACAGAATTAGTGTGAAGTGTACATCTGTTCTTGTAGCATCTTCTTCCCTTCCTTCCCTCTCCCTCTCCCCCTCCCCCCCCCCTCAATTTCCCGGGTTCTTCAGTAACACTGAGAGAGGGAAACAATAACTCACCTTGTCAAACATCCTTGCTTGACAGGCTTGAAGACTGAAACCCCCTGATTCCTCAGGACTGGAAAAGCAGTCCTTACACCCTGCCTGCCTCATTCCTGACAGGAAAATCTCACCTCTGGAAAAGACTGGGTAACCCGGGGCAATTAATTTCTGAAAAGGTGGTAGGACTGATGATTCTGTTGGCAGATGGCCACTGTTACTTGTGGTTTTCATGTCTGTCCCCGAGGAGCTGGATAATTCTGCTCAAATGTAGGAGTAATCATGTGTGGATAATCATTTGCTTATATGATAACCGATACCTGATTATAAAGGTCAATGTGATACCATGAAGCTGTTTGCAAGATGTTTTTATTTACTCAGAACATATTTGATTTCCTTTGGGAAAGGTCAAACCATGAAGAATAGCGGAATAAATGAGCATTATGCTAATAAGCTTCCTTGGGCCACCATTAATATTAATTACATGTTTGCTCTGTCTTCTTTGGGTATGCTGACAGAAATACATGAATTTCACAGGGAATTTCACTTCAGTAGTTAACAACAGAGATGTCATGTGAGAAGAAGGACTGGAAATAAAAGAAGTCACTGTATTATGATACTCCATGAGTCTGAATAGGAAGAATTCTTCCTGTTCGTAGTTCTTCAATGGTTTCTGCAGTCTGCTATTGGGGAATGCAGAAATTAATCATGCCTTGCACCTTCACAAAGCCTGTGGGCTCCACCATTCATGATCACACTTTCAGTCATACAGATTTCTTCTTGCATCCTTATTTTGCTGCAAATCTGACTACAGCTCATTTGTCTGAAATAGAGACTGAACACCCAAAATGCTGCCCCTGTTCATAGACTAACCTCATCTCTGCCTGAAGGGTTAATGTTTCATGTTCTACTCATGTAAATAGCTTTACTGATTTCACTGGAGTTACTCATGGGAGAGAGGACTCCAATACTCTGCCATGTAAAAAGACATCTGGAGTCAGTCCCATGTGGTCAGTGTTACTCAAATTTCCTCCCCTTGTTTTCAGGCTCTCACACTGTCATACCTTTCACGTCTCCCATTTGGATTCTTTCACTTGTTTTGTGCTCTTTATTAGCAAATTAAGAAAATCATAGAGGAAACAATCTCTTACAAACCTTTTTCTCAGTGCTATTGCAGTCTGTGTTGATTTTCATACTGCATCTGCACCTGGCCTCAAGAAAAATCTCTTCAGTCACAGATGGTCAACATTTAATGGTGTTCACAGCAGGAAGCAATAGCTTGAGAGATGACCCATTGGTCCCATCACTGTTTCTGGATAAAATTGAGAACTGCTGAAAGAAAATATTAGGGGACAAAAATGAAACAATATCATAAGCAGTTCCAAAGTTCAAGTGAGAAAAGAAGTTGGGGATTCTTAAATGGAGAGCATTGATTGTATATATTTAGACTAAATGTATATATATATATGGAGATCCCAAGGCCAAATAAAAACATAGGCTAATTCCTGTTAGCTACGCTTTAGTAATTCATGTTACGGCAGCAGGAGGTAGAAAACCTATTTGTTTCTCAAACAGAAATGCCAGGCAAAATCCCTGTATATGATTTTCCCATAATCCTTGAGGAGACACAGGCTGAGAAGTCAGTTCAAGAAGCCATGGAAAATGGTCACCTGTGCTCAGGCAGGCAACCCTCACAGCTCATCCCCACGTACTCTATGGGTTTCTGCAGGCACAGGCCATAGGCTCCATTCCTTCTTCACTCTCTAGGGCACCTGCCAATGAAATGGCAGAAATGGGATGTTTGCATATGACCTCTTATTTCTTTATGATGCTATATAGTAGAGTAAACTGAATTATTCCATAATAAAATTATGCTGGTTGATACATTTCAGTTGCAGAGTTAGACCTGTATTTATTTGCTCATGATTAAAATTCTGCAATCATTTCAAGCAGCAGATGTTTTAGAGGCATAGAACTGTCATAGCTGTAATACTTATATTTCCACATGTACAACACTTCATTTTGTGTAAGCCTCATCGAAGTGTAAATTAAGGAATCCTCACAATGGCTTTGTGCTTAGCTAGGTGCTCGCCTGACCACAGACAGTAGCAGAATAAGGGACTCAGTGTCTGGTCAAGTCCACAGGGCACTCCGACAGCAGAAGACAACCACTGCTAACACCAGTCAATGTACCGGTCTTTCCAGTTTTGAACTGGTTTTCAACTTTTAGACCCAAGAGCATTGGAAACAGTGCACAAATACCACCTCTCTTTTTACAGAGTGGAGCATCACTGGCTTACAAGCATGACACCCTCAACAGTGGAATGCAGTGCAAACACTGTGTATGAAAATGTAAAGAGAGAGACCACTTCCTTATGGTCTTTGCAGATATCGCCCTTTTTGTGGTGATGAAATGTGATCAACGGATGTTTCTGTATGGTGCCATTTGTCTTTAAAATCAGCTGAGACAAGTGGGTTCTCACATTTTTGACTGCAGCTGATTCTGACTTTACAGCAGATTTGATTTCATGCTGTAGTTGGAGATGGAATGAAAACAACTTGGACTTTAGCAGAATAATAGAGATGATGATTTCAGACCTTTGCATCACCAGTTATGCTAAGCAGAAGGAGGTCCTATGAGGGGTTTGGAATAGTTAGGAAAGGAGGACCTAGGCATTATTTAGCTGGCTATGACTGCTGCATTCAAGGCATAAATTGGCAAGAGCTATTGGGAGGAGACTGTAATTGCCTGGTGCACAGTACTGATGGCTACAGGAGGAAAATGGCTACCCACAGACAGATCTGGCAGTGAAGGAAGTTGAAAAAAAGACAGTTCTTCATTCATAATCTTATTCTTCTAATTCTCTGCAGGGATTTGGCTTTAATTCCAAGTTATATCCCTTTATTTTGAAATGCCAGTACAAGGTTCTAGCTGTTGGGGTTTTTTTTAAGTAAGAAGCTAGAATTTTCCAGTGACTACTGTGAGGAAAAAAAGAAGAAGGCAGAGCAAACGTAAAGCTATTTGAACTGTCCCAGATAGTGAAGAGAACTGTGCTGGGAGGTATTACAGAAACAATAATTGGAATTGCCTTCAGGAGGGAAATGGGGGGAGAATTTTTTTGCTTCCATATTCATAAGGTTTAAAAAGTGTGGGGGGGGGGGGTTGATTGGATTTAAAGTTGCATTTGATTGGCTTAGAAACTGTAAAGGAAAAAAAAACAACCTAGAAATTCCATCCTGCTTTAATCACTGCCCACTCCAAGCTTCCCTAATGACTTCCAGATGCATTCGTTTTATACTATTGTTTTGGCACAGTTTCCAGACAATTTCTGGGTCTGTTAACATAAGAAAAAAAAGAGACAGAAAAGAAAAAACTGAAAAACCCTTACTCTGCCTCCTCTCTCTGCTAACAGAAAACAGATTTCCCTCTGGTTATATAAATGTGTGATGAGCTGGAGAAATAAAATGCCTGTTGTCTCTCTTCAATCTCCAGAAAACCTTCTGATACAAAGAAAAGGAAAAATATTCACTTATATTCCTTGTAGGGAAAAAGGTGAAAGCAGATTCTGAACAATTTATTAATATTTATATAAAATAGCATGAATATAAAGCAAAGCCCACTTACTCTACAAACCTAACACTCGCTACCACAAAGTAATTTTCATGCTGTTGTATGTGTAACTGACATGTTGAGCCATCTAAAGCAAATCATCATGCTTCTTAATGCCTCAGTTTCCCCTGCGTGAAATGGAGACAATGGTTCTCAGTCACAGTATGAACAACTTCCATGAGCTTCAGACGAAAAACACTTTGCAGAGTGGGATCAAAACAGCTCCTAATGCACATAGGGGATGACAGAACAATTGTTTGCTAAGCTGGGGAGCAAAAGAGCAATCCTCTCTGCAGTGGTGTATTTGATACCCATGCAAAGCTGCCGTGTATTGTATTTGTAAGTTACTCTAATCCCTTCTGAACAAAATAATGTGTTAGTGCTAAGAACTGCTGTCTTTGAAAACCAGCATATCTCTGAGACCTTCATCCTTCTTAGGCACCCCACCAGCCCTACCTTTTCAGAGGATAAAACTCAGACCTATTCAGGCTGCATTTCTTCTATGCCATTTGAGGGAATCCTATCATTCCTCTATTCAGACTTTCTTTCTTCCCCTGACATTGATGCCCACATAAAAATGTCTGCCTCCATGGTTCCTGTGTCTTCCAGCCTTCCAGTCCGTGACAAGGGGAGAAAAGTTGGTGTTACACCCTATGCAGATGCCCTTCCAGAACTCCTAGACTGCCTCAAGAAGTCTGATTTTCAGATGCCGGCACCTTCTGCACCAACAGACATCCATTGGCTACCCCCTGGCCAAAAACCCCATGGGGTTTCTGATAACAACAGTAAAGTTGTTAAACCACTTTTGTCTTAAATATATGCAGATTTTAACTCTTTGCTTTGTTCACTAGCTCACCCCAGCACAGCCTGTGTCCCCCATATATCATTTCATATTGCTGACAGAAATATTCCCAATAGTGAAATTTTGCCTATGGGTGACAACTTGGTACTACCAAGCATCAGGAAGGACCACGATTAGAAAACATAGCACACACATCAAGTGGCTGCTTCACAATCTTCCACCAGTGGTGGGTTTTTTTCTGTCATGCCACGTGCTGAGCATATAATTAGTATGGACACATGAGAGAAGGGGCCTTTCAGAACAAGCTTTGGGAGACTCTGGTGCTTACAAACCATGCATTAACATTTGGGTTTCGCTAGCCATGCAGTATCTGTGGGAGCCGGTCACAGTATGGAGACTCCTACATTTGAGCTGCTTACTTTATCTCCCTCATAATATTTGGAGAAATGGTCAAAAACATCACTGCAGTCAAAGGCAAAATAAACTGGGACCCAAAACTGCCTGCAGAAAATTAAGGGCAGTCAAATGCAAACATTTATGTCTTAGGTACCTGAGATGGTTCTATCCATAAGGTTACCTATAATATGAATTCGATTATACTCATTTAATGAGTTTATTCTAGACATGAGATTTATGACAGTTCTTTATTA